CATATGATATTTATGAAGAGGTTGACGACACAACCATACCAGCAAGTGAAGTAAAGTCAGATGAACCGAAAAGTGACGAAAAACCAATAGAAGAAGAGAAACCAAAAACTGAAGATAAACCAAAACCAAAGTTTAGTCTCCAGACTAAACCAAGCCAACCTTCATTAGCTGGTATGGGTTGGCGTCAAAGACTTTTGGCAGCGGGTGGTTACGTAAAGTAAAGAAAACAGTATATTTTTATTTTATTTGAAATGTACGATGAGTCTGTCGGAAAAGACCGTTGGGAAGACATAGATGAAGAAGTCTTTACAAAACATTGACGATGAAGTTCATGAGAAATTAGATGAAGAAAGTTCATGAGAAATTAGATGAAGAAAGTTCATGAGAAATTAGATGAAGAAAGTTCATGAGAAATTAGATGAAGAAGTCTTAACAAAAACATAGACAAGAAAGTTCATGAGAGATTAGATGAGAAATATGAAATGGCATACCATTTAAAACAAAACATTTTTTCAAAAAAATATTTTTTTATTTTATTTGAAATGTACGCTGAGTCTGTCGGAAAAGACCGTTGGGAAACTTGTTTGTTAGATGAGAAATATGAAATTCACTGTTGTGAGTCATTTGAAGTCAGAAACAAAAAGACAAAAAGAGTTTTAAGCGAATGGGAGGGAAATAAAGGATATGCTATTATGAGGATTGGTGGAAAACACTATTTTAAACATGTTGTCATTGCAACTCATTTTATACCGAACCCTAACAATTTACCTTTTGTAGACCATATAAACCATATAAGAAACGACAATAGACTTGAAAACTTACGTTGGGTTACTCGTTCTGAAAACAATAAGAACAGAGGCAAATTTCGAGATATTGTATTCGAATTTGTCGACGAACTAGAAGATGAAGCAATTGAAATTACAGACTATGGCGAGCATACGTTTGAGTTTTACTACTACAGCGAAGAACAGGACTCTTTCTACTTTTATACCGGCGTAAACTATAGAAAATTACAAGTATATTTTACTAAGGAAGACTATGCTTATGTAAACGCTAGAGATACAGATGGAAAACACGTTCCAATACGTCTTAACAAATTCAAGAAGCTATATGGCATACCATTTTAAAACGTTTTTAAAACAGTATATTTTTATTTTATTTGAAATGTACGTTGGGAAACTTGTTTGTTAGACGATGAAAGTCTTGACAAAACATAGACAAGAAAGTTCATGAGAAAACATTGACGATGAAAGTCTTGACAAAACATAGACAAGAAAGTTCATGAGAAATTAGACGATGAAAGTCTTGACAAAACATAGACAAGAAAGTTCATGAGAAAACATTGACGATGAAAGTCTTGACAAAACATAGACAAGAAAGTTCATGAGAAATTAGACGATGAAAGTCTTGACAAAACATAGACAAGAAAGTTCATGAGAAAACATTGACGATGAAAGTCTTGACAAAACATAGACAAGAAAGTTCATGAGAAATTAGACGATGAAAGTTTTGACAAAACATAGACAAGAAAGTTCATGAGAAATTAGACGATGAAAGTTTTGACAAAACATAGACAAGAAAGTTCATGAGAAATTAGACGATGAAAGTTTTGACAAAACATAGACAAGAAAGTTCATGAGAAATTAGATGAGAAATAAAACATTGCATACCATTTTAAAACGTTTTTAAAACAGTATATTTTTACATATATAAAATGCTTCAGGTTGAAAAACAAAGAACAAAAGTAGCAGATACAAAACCGTTAGACTATATCTTTACAAACGCTGGTAGGACTATATCAGATGAAGAAATTTCATCCGGATCTTACAGATTTGACTATCCAGTTCGTTGGCTTCAAAGTCCTTCAGATGCAAAGGCAATAGGATTTAGAAGAGTTTTGTTTTCAAATAGAACTAATGCATTCATGTTCGCAGTATATTTTCACGGTCAGTATAAAGGCTCTGATGGTCTAATAGAAAGATTTGACGAAATGAGGATCTTTACAGTTCGTTCAGACGAAAGTCTTGAAAAAACTCTAAATGACTTTCAAACTCAAATAAACAAATACTACTGGGAATTTCAAGAAAAATACGACTCTTTACTAAATGGAACATACTATCTAAAACTAGAATACGACAAGATGAACTCCACAGTTTCATTTCAAAAGATTGAAATTAACCCTCCAAGAGATACAGAGTTTTTATATTGGGGAGTAGACAAACGTTCTTGGGCACAATTTCTTCGGTTACTAAACCAGAACGAACCATTGCCACCTGACGGTCCGTTTAAATTTATACTCCCACCAGCAGATTTGACAGTTTATAGAAACGTGTTCGATCCTCAAAATGTCATGTGTCATGCAAGTTTCAGTTCAAGCAACAACAGTTTTCTTTGTATCGGTAAGGACTTTTATGACTTTGCTTCTAAATTCTACGAACCACCTAGTAACAGTTTCTCTGACTTTCAAGTTTGGTTCACAACAAACGGTGTGCAGCATATAATACCATTGTACTATGACTTTTATCTCGAATTGTCTTTCATATACAACTACGGAAAAGTGCTGAAAAAGTATTGAAAAATATATTTTAGATCTCACCAGGTCACCAGGTCCCTCGGTCAACTAACATCTTTTTGAAAATGGTGACAACATGACATTTTGACAACAACACAGGAAATAGATTTCATCATCTAATTTCTCATGAATTTCATCGTAAATGTTTTGTATAAAAAGCAACCCGCGGAATTCCGCGGGGTGGTATATTCTTCACGAAATGCTTGTTTTGAGGTTAAGCCACAAACGAATGTCCGACGGTTAAGCCACAAACGAATGTCCGACGGTTAAGCCAAAAATATTTTTTATTTTTATTGTAAGAACAGTATGACAGTCGAAGCAAAAACGTTCACGAACAAATCTAATGGCGAAACATTCACAAAAGGCACTTACAACGGTATTGAAGTCTTACGTAGAGACAAGGATGGTTATATAAATGCAACAAAGATATGTCAGCAGTTTAGGAAAGACTTTAGAAGGTTGTTGGAAAATAAGTCCTGGGAAGAGTATTTTAAGGCATTTTGTGAAGAATATACCACCCCGCGGAATTCCGCGGGGTGCTTTTTATACAATGTTAATGCAGGAATTCCCGATGAAATCAAACAGGTTAGAGGAACGTATGCAGACCCAAGACTTGTAAACTATATAGCAATGTGGGCTTCTCCAAAATATTGCATAGCAGTTGGAAAAATTATGGACTCCATAGACAAGAAAGTTCATGAGAAATTAGATGAAGAAGAACTTGAAGATACAGCAGAGAATGCTAAACCTTTGTTCGAAGAAGAAGTTAGAAAAATGCATGAAAAACAAATAGAACATGAACGTGAGATATGTTCTGGTTATAGAGACTCTCCATACGAACTAGACCAATGGGAACAAGAAGATTTAAAGAGAGAATTTAGAGAATATGAACTCGCTAAAGTTTCATTAGAAGCTGCAGAAGAGAGGTTAAAAGGTTGGGGTCCTTTTGTACAAAAATATTGTGAGTAAATGAACCATTTTTTTTATTGAATTCAGCAAAAATATATTTTAGGTTAGATGGTTTTTAGGTGTCACTACGTCACCAGGTCACCAGGTCATTTTAACTTCTCTGAAAAAGTGTGACAACATGACATTTTGACAACAACACAGGAAATAGACTTTCTTCGTAAATGTTTTATATAAAAAGCACCCCGCGGAATTCCGCGGGGTGGTATATTCTTCACAAAATGCTTGTTTTGTCAAACATGAACGTCAATGTTTTGTATAAAAAAGCACCCGCCGGAATTCCGGCGGTTGGTATATTCTTCACGAAATGCTTGTTTTGTTGAGACTTCTTCATCTAATTTCTCATGAACTTTCTTGTCTATGTTTTGTCAAGACTTCTTCTTCGTATTCTTTCACCCGTTGAACTTTGTATAAAAAAAGCACCTGCCGGAATTCCGCGGGGTGGTATATTCTTCACGAAATGCTTGTTTTGTCAAACATGAACGTCAATGTTTTGTATAAAAAAGCACCTGCCGGAATTCCGCGGGGTGGTATATTCTTCACGAAATGCTTGTTTTGAGGTCGAGCCAAAAATGGCTCCACCGTAGAAAACACACAAAACTCATGATTTTTGTATAAAAAAGCAACCGCCGGAATTCCGGCGGTTGGTATATTCTTCACAAAATGCTTGTTTTGAGGTCGAGCCATTTTTGGCTCCACCTGTTTTTTCAACCAAAGCTCATTTTTTCGGCAAAAATATATTTTAGGTGAAGTGGTGAGATCTCACCTCTTTTTTCACCTCTTTTCTCACCCGTTGAATTTTCATGAATTTTGACACTTTCACAAAAAACATAAAAAAAGTTAGTTTTTTAAAAAAAATATTTTTTATTTTTATTGTAAGAACATGTTAGCAACAACAGCACCAAACTCGTTAGTCATGAACCCAACTTCAATGTTAGTAGAGATGAAAAGCTTCATTCCTTCTTCATATACTTTCGAAACAGAAATCCAGAAGATAAAGCAAGAACTTCTCCAAGGAGATTTAGACTGTAGTGCGAAAGATGAAACAAATGAAGAATATCTTTATGAAATGCAGGATATTATTGACCATCTACCTAAACTTCCTGAAATACAACAACAAAAGCTTACTATTCCAGAATTCGATGAAATAGAAGTCAAAGCAACTGACTCAGTAGAAACCAAGAAGTTCATACGTAAGGTAAACTATGAGTTTCTTGGATTTCATTGCAACCACAAAGTCATGGACAAAGACTGCGATATGGTATATAAAAATGTTTCTGACATATACAAATCTGAAGAATTTAAGACCTACGACAACTTTGTTTCGTTAGTTGCAAAATGTGTATGGCAGATAAGAGATAAAGATAAAAGAGGTAAAGTATGGAACGAACAGATAAAACCAGCAACTTTTGAGTTAAAGAAAACCATTGACGCCTTAGTTGTTTTAGCAGGTTTTATTTCAATGTACAATGCTAAAATGAACCCACAATGTTCAAAATGTAAAGCAGCAATGAGGAAATATAACTACTCCGTCAAAGAGATAGAACGTATGCGAAACGACTATGCAGATTTAAAGAAAGAAGCAGAGAAACCAGCAGAAGATAAAATGGACATGTTGACATTTCTGAACAAAAACTATCCAACAGCTGACGATTTCCTTCTATCTGATGTCAAGAAGAAATATAAAGAAACATTCGGCATTGTGAAAACTTTTGACATACTGACAGAAGAAATAGAAGCTACAAAACTGTTTAGGATTTCAAATATACATCGTACAATTCATGTAAAACGTTTGTGAAAAAAGAGGTGAGAAAAGAGGTGAGAAAACAGGTGAGATCTCACCTCTTCACCTAAAATATATTTTTGCTGAGTAAAATGACCAAATTTCATGAATTTCCTCATATGTTTGCTACCCCGACTTTTTTCGGCCTTGCATAAAACTCATGAAAATCGTGAAAAAATGACCAAATTTCATGATATAACTGTATTTTTTTGACGAAGTGAACTTTTACTCTTCGTAAAAAAAATCCCTGAAATCGTGAAAAAATGACCAAATTTCATGATATAACTGTATTTTTTTGACGAAGTGAACTTTTACTCTTCGTAAAAAAAATCCCTGAAATCGTGAAAAAATGACCAAATTTCATGATATAACTGTATTTTTTTGACGAAGTGAACTTTTACTCTTCGTAAAAAAAATCCCTGAAATCGTGAAAAAATGACCAAATTTCATGATATAACTGTATTTTTTTGACGAAGTGAACTTTTACTCTTCGTAAAAAAAATCCCTGAAATCGTGAATTTCCTTAAGATAGAAAAATAGCGTTAGTTTTTATAAAATATTTTTTTTTATTTTGTATGTAAAGACAGGAAATGACAAGCACTGAGTTTGAAACAGTTAAAAAGATAGACAATGAGACCAAGGTGGTTAGAATAGGTGATTTAAACGTAAGATACTCAAAGAAATACAAAAAATATTCTTTGTCAGACATTTTAACACCATCCGGAAAGAGAGCAAAGGACTGGGTTAGAAATGCTTCATCTCAGAAAATTTTGACAAGAAATCCTGAGCTTTTGATATCGGTAAGATTCTATGGAACTACAGCATATCTTATAGACAAAAGTCTTATACCACTAGTTTTGTTCTGGATTGACCCAGTTGTTGGATATAATTTCATAACATATGGTTCATTCGATACTGAACGTTGCTGTGAAGGCTTACTTTACATCGTTCAGAAACCGAAGGACTTCAATACAAAGAGATATAAGATAGGAAGAACATTTAATATAACTAAAAGATATGACTCTACAGTCAATAGAGTTAAGGTTGTGTTTGTAAATGATATGAGAGCTGCAGAAACAGAACTACTTGAAGTTTTTGAGAAAAGGTATGGTGCTCCCACGAAAGGTAAAGAAACGTTTGAAGTAGATGAGATAGATAGTGCTATAAAATTATTTGACGAAGTTGCTGAAAAATACATGTAAAGCGTTTATTTTTGGTCTTTTATACAAGATAGAAAATAACGCTAATTTTATTTTTTTTATTTTTTATTTTGTATGTAAGAACAGAAATGTCAACATCAGAGAACACAACAACTGCTATCGTTCATGAAGCCATAGATGAAGAATACGAGTGGGTTCAGTATAACAAACAACTCCGTCTCATTCGTTCGGTCAAAGATGGCATGTACCAAATGCAAAGTATTTTGACAGCATGTTTTGCACCAGATACTAAGAAACCACAAGACTGGTTTGAATTAAATAGCACTCATGAACTCCTCAGTGAGTTTGAACATGTAGAACTTAAAAAGATGTACCAAGACAGACAAAACTTACCATCGCATCTAAAAGGTATATATGTTCATAAGTTCCTAGCTAGTTCAATAGCAATGTGGGCTTCACCTCGTTATGCAATCTACATACTTATGCTACTTGACGAACTTTGTACAAAGCAGAGAGAAGATATGATGAAAGAAGACAAAAACATACAGAAAAGAATACCACGTCCGGTACCAAAAGGAAAGGAAAAGAACTATAAGTATATGATTTACACTGAAGAGATGGAAAATGAAGAAGACAGAGATATGGTTATGTTGCATTTAGTCAGAAGAAACAACAAAAGCTTTTACGACTTAGCTAAGATTTACAAATCTGACAGAAATTGGTTCTATCGCGAAAACTTACCGATTTCAATGACACCGAATGAAGATGTTAAACAGATAGTTCAAGATACGTTACCTCAAACACACTATGATATGAAAGGTTGTACAATACTTACATTCAAAGAAGATTTGCCGCTACTGAAGGAAAAGATAACAGAGTATTTCGATAACTTCAAAGAGGAAGAGTAAATGAACCATTTATTTTTCAAGCTTGACACCAAAGATGGCTCATGTAGCTCTAGATGGTAAATTGTCTTGTCCGAGTCCTTCTGGCATTCCGAGTCCTTCCTTCCGACAGGAAAAGTTTTTCTTTCCAACAGGAAAAGTTTTTCTTTCCGACAGGAAAAGTTTTTCTTTCCGACAGGAAAAGTCCTTCCTTCCGACAGGAAAAGTTTTTCTTTCCTTCAGGAAAAATTTTTCTTTCCTTCAGGAAAAATTTTTCTTTCCTTCAGGAAAAATTTTTCTTGTTGTCCGTCCGTAAACCATTCAAATTTTCGAAAATTGAGAACTTTTTGGCCGACCTTCAGGAAAAATTTTTCTTTCCTTCAGGAAAAATTTTTCTTTCCTTCAGGAAAAATTTTTCTTTCCGACAGGAAAAGTTTTTCTTTCCGACAGGAAAAGTTTTTCTTTCCGACAGGAAAAGTTTTTCTTTCCGACAGGAAAAGTCCTTCCTTCGACAGGAAAAGTCCTTCCATCCGACAGGACACAAACGAATGTCCGACGTACCACCAACCGAGTCCATTCCAAAGCCAGAAGAACCGACAGCCCCAGCACCACAACAGACTAAGACTCAAACACTTACATTTTTACGCTTGACTTTTTACAATTTGAACTTTGTTCGCGTAGATATGAATTCTGAAAGAAGTATGAGGGTCTTGTATGACTTTGTACTTCTCCCATAGTTCATGTCTGTCAAACTTACCTGCCATGGACTCTTTCATAAGTTCCATGAAATCGTCTTCGGACAATCCGGGGAAAAGTATGATATCAGTAAGTATTCTCTTTACATCCTTACTTAAACTCTTTGCTGTCTGTACACAAATGACAACTGAGATGTTAAAGTGTCTGAGCTTCTTAAGAATTCGACACATGTCTTGTTCTCTGTTCTTTAACAAAGGATGAGAAGCAAAGTCATCTAAGATAAGAAGACATCTGTGAGGGTAAGTCTTCCAATCGTAAGATTGCAATTTCTTCGAAAGGTACTCAATCTCTTTCTGTTTGTTTCTGAAGTGTTTCTTCTCTAATATTCTCTGCATTTCCTCATTTGGGTCTTTAAACTTAGAATTGACATACTCATTTATAGCATTGTACTTCAAAACTCTTCTTTGGTACTTCTTTATCCAATCTAACAACTCAGAGTCTTTTATACATACTAACTTAGACTTTTTTATAATATCTTTGAACGAATTGACGGTTTGGTCAAATTGACCAGAAGTACTACAAATGACTACTAACTCATAGAATGGGTTCTTCTCATCTAGTTCTTGTTGTTGTGCAGCCATTTTAAGATAAGTGAAAGTCTTACCCGACCCAGGCGGTGCGATTAGACCTGTTATACCATTCTGAGCAAATAAGAACTTGTCATGTATGGGTTTTATCTGAGCATTTTCCAACTTCCTCTTGTTCTTATTTAAAACATTCTCAAATTTTTGTCAATGTCAGCAAACTTTTTTTCTAACATATTTTTAGAAAAATTAAAATTTTTATCTTTTAGGAAATGTCTAGCGATTTCGCTATCTATATTCGAGACAAGCTTTTCGACAGCAAAACATCTGTCGACCATAAAATCTTACATAGTGTAAACAAGAAAGGTGAATTTGTTCTAAAGTTCTGTTTCTGGGAATATGACAAGAACCATAAAACCTTAAGCAGAGAAGTCTTAAAATTTGTCAATGACAGACTTGTTGACAGAGATGACGCCTCTTGGAGAGATGAAGTCCAACAAAACTTCTTAGAATGCAAAGAAGACACATGCGCTGTTCTTGAAAATGAAATAGAAAACAGAATAGAAGAGCTATTAAATGACAAAGCACTTTTACAAAAATATGGTTCTGAGAAGTTTGACATAACTCCACCAGAGAAGAAGAAGAGAGAAAAGAAAGAAAAGAAAGTAGAAGAAGAGAAGAAAGAACCAGAGCCAGAGAAGGGGAGATATGACATGTAAAAATAAAATTTTATTTTTAGAACATTTCTGGGTCAATGTCAATGTTCTCTTCCTCTTTAGGAGCAAACACTGGCTTAGACTCTAAAATCTTTTTACCCAATTTACCTTGAACTTCAACTATCTTAGACTCATAATATTCATAGTCGTCTGCTTTCTTTGGTTCATAAGGTATAACAAGTTTGTATGCTTTGCCTTCTTTAAGGTTTGAAAACCTTCTGTCAAAACTTTCTTTGACTGTTAACAAACCTTCTATGTCTAAGTCTTCAAATTTCGCACCATTTTTAGTCACAATAGCAAACTTAACTGGTTCGATGTTCCAAACTTTGTCAAATGTAGACTTTTCAAAATGGTAGAAGTAAACATTCAAATATGTGAATGGGTCTAGTTCTTCTTTAAGTCCTGACATATACTTGTTGACTGAGATGAATTTCGTCATCTTTTCTATCGGATAAAAAAAATATTTTTTTTAAAATTTACTCAGAAAAATTTTTCTTTGTATATACACCATTCTGTACGTCTAAAAGACTTTTGACATTTGCCAAGAATGTTCGTTTAGACGCTGTCATATAACCATACTCTTGACAATACTGTTTATACGAATCGTACAATGACCTTTCATCTAAACACTCAAAGTTCAGTTTCATCTATGAACAGTTCATATACACTCTTGTTTGCTTCTAACAATGTTTGTCTCTCTTCGGTATGTGGAATTTGTCTTGGATTGAACTTAGAAATATCTAATGTCATGAAATATGAGAACAAGTGGTTGTAAAAGTCAGATGTCAAAGTTTCTGCTAAGTCGTCAAAATATTCTGTATCTTGCATATGAGCTTCTGACGTTCTGACAACTACATATCTTCTGTCAGAACTTTCTAACTTCATCGGAACGGCGTTGTTTGAAACCATGACGAAATTTGCAACATTTTCACAAACTCTTTGGTCTCTATACTTTCTTTCAACAACTCCAACTTTGTCTGTTATAAGACTCTTCAAAGCATCTGAGTTCAAAACTTTTGTTGTATCTATACTTTGAAGTTCGTTACATACTATAAGTTTCATATTCTCTATTGAAGAGTTAAATTTACCGCAGATGTTTTCTAAGTTTGTCATATTCGGGTTCGAATAGCCCTCTAACAGTTTGCAAAGATCTGTAAAGAAAGTGTTCTTACCTGTTCCTTGTTTTCCAATTATGATGAGAGCAGTTTCATTTTTAGCACTTGGATGTTGTAAGATGTTTGCAAACCAACATAAGATATACTCATAGACTCTTTCGTTTCCATTGCATATAATTTCTTTGACATGGTCTAACCAAGCTTCTATAACATTTTCTTTCCATTCTACTTGTTCGTATTTATATCCAGTGAAGATAGAATAGAAGTTTGGAGAAGGTGTATAGAACTTTATACCACGAACTGAAAAATCTTCTAACTTTGACAATAAGATATCCCAAGCATCTAACATCTTCATACCAACTTGTACGACTTTTATTTTCTTAAGTTTCTGTCTACATTCTTGTTCTGAAACTATTGTCGCTCTTGGTTTGTTAAAGACTACATCCCATTCTTTCATGACATAACATTCTGGGGCAGAGTCGACATAAATGACTAAACGTTTCAAATTCTCGACTGCTTTGTTATAGTCTCGAAATGGACACATATTTCTGAACGCTTGGAAGTCATAAAAATCTGAAACGTCTATTCTGTACATTTTTATAAAAATAAAAAAAAATATTTTTTTATTCTTGAGCTTGTTGTTGCATTTGTTCCATTTGTTGCATTTGTTGTTCTTGAGCTATTTGTTGTTGAAGTTGTTCTTGTAGTACAATACTTTCACCAGTTGCATCTTCCAATTCGAAACTTTCTGCCGTCATTGACAAATACATAGGACATAAAAGTTTTACAGGAACAAAGTTTGCGTCAACTAAGGTTAAGTTTATGTTTGCTAAAGTGTTTGAGTTTACTAAAGCTGAAAACTCTGCATTCGAATGAACAATAGGCAAACCAGCAGAGAAAGTGTTGTTTATACGCATGAGTATCTTTTGGTCATAGTAGTTTCTGTCGACATTCGAATAGCACTTTGAACCTAAGTTTGAAACAATATATAAAATTGGTGTGCTTAAAGTCAATGGAACAGACATTCCTTGTATGACACCTTTTCCTGTTATAGGAAACTGTTGGTAGTAAAAACCAGATATAAGTTTTGTATTATAGCTCATATCGTTTATACTAAACTCAGTCGGACATCCAAACATAATGAAACCTGCTCTAGTTGCAGCACATGTTACATCCGTCCTTAAAGTATTAAATAAGTCAACAAAACCTGTTGGTGGTATATCTGAGTAAGTATCTTCAAAGAGTATTTTTTACCATTCACAACAACAAAGTCTTCTGGTGTCAAAAGAGCAAAACAGGCTTTAGTCGTCATCGTGTTTAAGGTCAGTTTACAATATCGTCCTTGAGGACTTTGTAAGTTTGTTGTTATAGAATTATATGACTCAGGGTTTTTAGTCGTAATAGTATAAACCACTATGTCTTCTGCCATTTACTTAGCAAGTAAATTTTAATGAAATGTTGTGGTCGTCAAAATTTTTATAACGTCTGGGAAACTATATTTTAAGTTCAACGTTTCACCTCCTTTCATAACGTATATCTTGTCAATGACATTATATGAAACACCACAGCAAGCAATGTCGGGTTCTATTTCTTTGATGTTTATATCGTCTGCCTCTGTCAAAAGTTTCAATAGTTCTTTCAAAATTTCATGAGGTGCGATGACATATGAGTTCACTTTTACAGGGTTGTGCTCAACCAAGTTTAACATTATACCCAAAGCTTGACAAATCTTCTCCTGAGTTTTAAGTTTGTCTTTAAGTTGTTGGTAGTCATTTCGAATATCTGCAACAGAACTTAAGTCTCTGCTAACTTCAGGGTATTGTTCTTTTACAGGAACTATTGTTATACATCTTCTTCGTCTTCGTATGGTTTCCCCACTTCAACATCTCTTTCTTTGACATTGACAACAACACTTTGACTGTTTGTTTGAGTTGGTGAATTTAACTTCACATCTGCCATCGCCATTAAACCTTTTGAAACACTTACGCTTCTATTTTTTCGGAAATGACATTTTTACTTAGAATAAAAGATGGACGTATTTGAGTATCTCTTCGAATTGAAGCAGAACAAAGTTTACAACACAAACAATACAAGTTCATTGACAGAGTAGTTCTTTAACAAACAATGGAAAATGTTATAGAATAGCAGTCTTGCTGAACCAAAATATTTTCATAAAGCAAAGAAAGTTGGTATAACCGAGATGGTGAAGTTCTGAAGCAGACAAAATATAACAACAAAACTGACCGATATTTTTCTAAAGGTAAGTTTATAATACAATACTATGTCAAAACTGGCGTACTGTCAATATTTGACGGAGAGAAGTCAGTTCAAGAACAACTTACTGACCTGCTGCCAAAATCTGCTCGATGGAAGCTGTCGTTATACCAATCTGAGGAGCCCAGCAGGTTTCATCGAACGAATCTTCAAAAGAGCATCTTCCGTGAAAAGTGCTATTGGTTTTGTAAACTTCTTTGCTTTCAATTCATTTGGACCGTCTCTGTCACCAGTATATTGTATTTGAACTGTACCAACAGTTGAAATACCACCCAGAAAGTCTTCTGAGTCAGCAAATGGAATGCCAAGCCAAAAGTTTGAACGGTCTCCATTTGTATATTGAGTGTTTTGAGCTCCTGTATGAGTCCATACTTTCACATATGCATAATAGAACTTTGCATTTCAGGGTTAATGGTTGTTGTGAAGTTGTTGTTAAAGTTCATAGCATCTAATGTCAAGTTGTATGACCTCATATCCTCAACTGTAGAATATTCTTCTCTTGGATAGTATTTGCCATCTATGTTTATATGATATTTAATACCGGGGTTGTAGAAACAAGAATAGTCATTTATAGTTCGTCTGAAAAGAACAAACATAGTATCTGCATGTTTCATTGCAGTTGTTAAGGCAATATCTGTTCTTGCACCTGGGTCAGCACTTTGGTTTCCAACTTCACCTGCAAAGTCTTTGACAGATATTTGGTGTATAGGGAACATAAGTGGAACTGCAATATATTTGGCAGCTAAAGCATTTGAAATATCTGGGTCCAACATATAGACTGCAAGTCTGCTTTCTATTCTCTTGCATTCAATTTTTCGCATGTGAACTTAACTGGGTCCCAAGCAGTTCCAGCAGCATTGAAGTAGTAGTTTACTTCAGTGTTGAGGTTTGAGAAACCAAAGTCTAAGTCAACTTTGTCTTTGCAAAAGTCGGCGAATGACGTTTGATTTGCTCCTTTACGTCTGTAGAGTGAATGGGTCTTGTTGGTGCAATGACTAAGTTATTTTTGCTTGGAGTAAGTTCGATAGAAATTTTTCCTGCCCAGTTTGGCAAGTATCTTAAAAACCTGAAGATGAGGAAAGATGACAAAGGAACTCTAAGTTTCAATTTTACTTTGGTTATTTGCTGCTGCAGTTTGTCCAGAAAGGTCAACATAAACTCCTGGAACGTTAGGGTCAAGTCTTCTTATTTTCTCAATAGTTGCATACTGGTCTGTTTGTTCTCTAGCTTGTGGTTGTACTGAGTTTCTCAAAGCGAACCATTCATAGTTTGCCCATGTTACTGTTTGAACTAAGTCAGAGTTAGAATATATCTTATATCCCATGAAAACTTCTGGAGCATATTGGTATCCGACATAGAAAATTCCATTGCAAACCTTTCTTGTCAGACAACTTGGCAGAAGGTTTTATTTCAATGTCTTGTTCCACGTATAAGAAAGAGTTGTCAATAGAAATTATATGAAACCTGTCGCAAGCAATATCTACTGTTGTTGAAGAACCTTCTCCAAACTCACCTACGTTTCCATAAGAAACAGCAGTTGTATATTCGTAAGTTCCAGGAACTATTTCTGACCTTCTAATGGCATTGTCGCATTCGTTATACCATTCGGAAACATTTCCATTCATAGCATCCAAAACTGTTTGGCGTTATATTCTGAGCGGCGTACATTTCATATGAGTAAAATATAGAATAGTTGGATTTATATGTCATAATAGAACCCACGTGGACCAAGCTTTACTTTCTTCCTGACTGAGTTTTTAACTCTTCTTTTTCCTTCATTGCCACTACTTTCACTAGATGAAGTTACTTCTTCACTACTTTCACTTTGTTCTACTCTTCTTCTTTGGTGTCGCTTTGGTAACTTGCCCTCTGCTTGAAGTTGTTGCATCTTTGCATTATGTTCATCTAGTATGTTGCAAATTTCCCATGTCCTTTTTGCCTTTTGGCTCTGGTCGCCCATCTCAGGTAACCTATATCCTAGAAAGAGTTTGTCATAGTTTGTATTTGAGTCTTTGCGTATTGTTTGCATGACTCTTCCTGAGTTTCCGGTTCAAGCTCTTCAAACAGTGCCTGTCCATATGGAATATGCTCGTTTCCAAATATATGTTTTTGTAGCCATTCTGGTTTTCTTTCCATGTTACCAATTATATCTTTTGTGAACGGGAAAGCTTTTACCCAACGTTTTCAGCTTGCGTCATTTATTTCTGTAGTTGGTTTTATTTTGTCCAAGGAACATGTTTTTCAATACTAACATTTCATTTGGTACTGTCCATTTGAGTTTACTTAAATATTCATCCCTTCTCGGTTCATTGTCTGCAAAGTAAGTTTTTATGACATTTTGCAAACTTTCGTTTGCAAGGTCATGTAAACAATAGGTTCTCTTCCTTCTCTCTCCCTAACTTTCTTTCTAACTCTTCACCAAAATATACCATCTCTATGGTTCTGTGTAGTTCTTTGAGATAAATGTTCTAGAACGTCAGGTGTTATATTTCCATCAGCCATGTTCATTTCATACTGGTCCAAAATATCTGCATGTTTCATATCTTTCAATGGCATTAAAGCCGCGCTTAAAATACCAGCTATATCTGGTTCACCATTGACTTCCATTGCGTCTACAACTTCTTGGAATTGAGGTTGTAAGTTTATGAACCACCTATCCGGGTTAGCTTTATGACCCATCTCATTGTAGTTCCATCGTCTGCAGAAACAAAAGTAGGTTTGTTTCCATCTTGGTTAGGTTCTGAATGAACTTTAAACAATGTTTCATTTCTATATGTTTTCTTGAAATTTAACCTTTTATTTTCACCGAGTTCATCCGAAGATTGAACGTTAAATGCTCGTAAGTAAAAAGGGTTGTTGTATTTGTGTACATTTTTTTCAGTACTTCCATTCTATGCTGAATATTTTCATCTGGTGTTGGAGTCTTTTGTATGTCGGCAAACATTTTTCGATATTCTTCTACTATGTCAGCCGAATTTTTTTAGACTCTTGGAAATATTCCATATTCTCCGCATACTCTTGTTGAGGGTCAAGATTTTTCGGCTGTTCCAAATCTTCATCTAGTTCTGTGAAGTTAGTTTCCAAAGGAGTGACTTGTTCGTTTCCTTCAGGCTCTTCTAGCTGTTGTTGCTGAACTATTTCTTCCATGTCTGGTTGTATCTGAACTTTCTTCCTGTGGAGTTTCTTGTACCTCATCTGCTGGCATTTCATATATTCCGAGACCGTTTTCAACAATTCCCTATCTAAGTCATCCGCATCATAAGCCTTTTGTTCTTTCGTTCCGTCTCTATTTTTTACGCGTTTCATGAAGAAGTTGAATTGTCATTTAGCTCTGACATCAAATATCTCGGAGTAAATTCATCATGTCATTTGGATGATATGCTATTAAATCATATCCCTTAGCGAGCTTGTATTTTCCAGGTTTGAGATTATATCCGTTTGGTGCTGAGCCATAAAGCTAAATAGGTTCGGGTCAGTATTTCCATCCTTGAACTTTCTAATAGCTTCTTTATATCTGTCACTAAAGTCAACAGTATCTGGGTAAACCATCTTCTTTAAGCATTTTTAAGAATTCTTGGTTTCCTTGTTCTCTACTTCTTTTATGTCCTTGCTCTGTTTGTGGTTGTTGTTGTGCAGGGTTTTGAACTGTTGGTTGTTGTGCTGGTTGTGGAGGTGTTGTTGTGCTGGTTGTTGTGTTGGTTGTTTGTTTTTGGTGTTGTGTTGGTTTTTGGTGCATGCCTGTGTCTGTGTC